CCAAGACAAGATATAATTTAATACCCAGGATGATGTTTAGGTATCATTATAAATAAAACAATAGAAGCTAAATTTAATTTTAGAAATTACTTTATTATTTTCACAAGGCAAAAAAGAAAAAGAGGTTCAAAGCTACCTCAACAAGTGTCTCCAGAACAATGATCAATTATATGACACCTCCTCACATTCTAAGTGCTGATAAAAGTTTACTGAATGGCTTTAATTCAGATGTATGGTATTAATTATACCAACAATGAAAAATAATAATTTCACTTTAGAAGAAGGCTACTTAAGTGGTTGATGGATGAGGAAAAGTATCCAGGAAAAGTAGAAGTTGAAATGCTTCTTCAACTAAAGACAGAAAGTCCAATGGTCATAAAAGTACCCTTATAAAAGCTAATAATGTATTTAGTTTTCTGGTAAAAAGAATGAGGAAGAACTTTATCAGTCAGGTCTGTGATTTAAAAGAAAAGAGTTACAATGGATTGAAAGAAACAACAAACATGAAATACAAAAATGAACAATGTTTTTGTAAATTTCACATGCAAAACTATTACACAAATAAAAGTAAGCTGTTATTCCATTCCCCTTGAAGAAATAGTTATATATAAACATATTTTGAACAGAAGCTATAATTTATCCTGCATGGTCAACATCACCTCACCTCAATTCCTACTTGGACATATCAGAAATGCCTTTAACATGGTTGCTTTCAAAAAAGAAATCACCTCAGTGTTAAGAAACTAGAAAAACACAGAACTAAATTACCACAAAAAAATTAATAATGTTGGGAGTCATAAATGCAGTGAGAATTTTTAATTAAAAAACCTAATATTCGATGCCAAACTTGTTTTTTTCAGAGTTATAATGAATACCCAAAACCAGAACCACCCAATTCCTACTCAAATCATATATTTACCTTCTCTAAAAATTCATATTAACTTTTGAAAATTATGGCATTTTTATACTTTAGTTTCACCCTCTAATAAAACCATGTTGAAGGAAAATGGTCTTATATTGTCTTACCGCCTAATTTCTGCATCACTAAATCCTTTAATATTCTCCCGAGGGATGGTCCGTGGTCTTCCCCGTTTCTTTGGCCTTTTCCTTTCTGAGATAGAATCACTATCAGATCCGGAATATCTCCTACTTCTACTGCGCCTCCCTTCACTTCCATTGAAACTAATCTGGAATTTGAGAACAAAAATTTACCCAGGCTTAGTGTAAAAAAAAAGGGCTTTTCTCTTAAGAGCAAGGAAAAGCAGTATAAAAGACTGTCAGAATTTTCAAAATGTTATTCTACATATCAAAAATAATTCATAAACAAAATTAAAAAGCAAACAGAAAAATATAGTATGTTAATGAAAAAGGTTTATTAATAGCCTTAATAATTAAAGCACTACTATAAAGCAAGAAGAAAATAACCACTGTCCTTTTGCAAAAATGAAAAAAGTTATTAACAAGCAATTCATCAAATGACAAATACAAAACTGTACTACCTCATTGGTAATTTTTTTAAATGTAAACTAAACGAACAATGATACGCATGTTTAAAAATCTACCAACTGGCCCAACACAAAATAAGTAATAGCCAATGCTAGTAATGGTACACAAAAATGGACATTCATACCCTTCTGGTCGGTATTTTGACTTAAGGGTAATTTGGCAATATTACATCAAAAGCCTTAAAAATTATCATTCTATTGCCCCAGCAATATCACGTCTAGGCATTTTTCCAAAGAAGATTAGAAATGTGAAGGAACACTGATAAAATCATTTACATCATGAAAGAAAAACGCAAATAATCTAAACACTCACCAAAAAGAGACTAGTCAAATAATCTACACAATGGAATAGTGAGGAGCCATTAAAAATTGTGTTATACAATAATTAACACTCATGATATACTGCAAAGGGAAGAAAACAAGTTCCCAATTAATATGACTCCAATTTAATTTGGCAAATGATATGCATTTAAAAATTTGGAATCACATATACTACAATAACATTATTACTAGTCCTATTTCTGGGTGGACGGATTGATTACTTGGCCTATTTTTCTGTTTTCCTTCTTAATATCCACTCATTGCTATCCTAACTAGGCTGATTAGATCTTTGAAATAAAAAATGCCAGTTGAACCCACATAAAAGCCCACATATCCATTAGTTTTAACAGGATACATCAAAACATATATTCTGTAAGTCTTTGGAGGTTTTCCAAAGCCCTGGTACATATTCTGAAACTCTGATATGCTGAAGGCTAACCGAAGTCAAGGATGGTATTTACAGCTTATTCTTTCTAATTCTTTCTAACCTCGTCTTAGCCTTTCATAAGATGTAATGTAACTCTGTGCTCCCTCACACTGTAAAAGGAAATCATTTTGGAGTTTGTAGAAATAAACACAAACAAGAAATGGCATATATAGTCACTTTCAGGCAAAAAA